ATAAATGTTTCTTAGCCAGCTTTCTCCAATCTGTCTCATGAAATAAGGTCACACATGAAAACTACATGCACATTAAATTTAATTCTGGTTAAAATATCTGACAGTGGCATTAAAATTAAGCTTTCTAAAGGAAGTAAGACTTAACATTTACAATAATGTAAGGATCAACAGGACAAGGGGGAATGGCTTCATACTGACAAGAGTAAGTTTAGGCTGGATATCAGGAAGAAATTGTTCCCTGTGAGGATGGTGAGGCCCTGGCACAGGTTGCCCAGAGAAGCTGTGGCTGCCCCAACCCTGGCAGTGTCCCAGGCCAGGCTGGATGGGGCTCTGAGCAAGCTGGGGTAGTGGAAGGTGTCCTTGCCCATGGCAGTGAGTTTGAATGAGATGATCTTCAAGGTCCCTTCCAACGCAAGCCATGCTATGATTCTGTGTTTTTAGAATCTTTGCCAAACCAAGACAGAGAAACCCACAGAAAACATCAAGGACTACCCCAGCCACCAAGGTGGCCCCAAATTTAAGCAAGGGAGAGAAAAGGATTTCTTTAGGTAAAAGGTCAATTAAGTCTTCATGCAACTTCCACTAAGCCTAAAAATACATCCCATTTTGCAGATTTGCCTCAACAGTTCAACACTTGTCATATATAATTCCTTACTTAACAAGTAGTTTTACTGAAGTAAGTGGGTGTACTGAAGAAATAAATATTAAACAGGGAACAAGACTCAAGACTGCTGGTTGAAAATTTGGTTCTTTTAATTCTGAAGTGCATACCTCCAGGAAAGCCTTCCATATTCTTCCACCCATCATTAATACATTCCCTAAAATCCTGACTACAGTTTTCACAATGTGGATTGGTCAAACCAGTCAGGAATCCAGCTCACCGGTTTCTGACAATTTTACATTACCAGAATCAGATTGGAAACTTTTGTTACTAGTGACCTGGAACAAGTCAATGGAAAGACAGCATAACCTACCTGTCCCCAGATTTATTCAGCACTGATTTTCCCATAGAAATCAATACATTTTAAGAAAAATAAAATCTAAAATCTGTCACTTAAAATACATAGATACTGACTAAAATTCTTAACTTCTACAGAGATGCTGCTTTCTGTCTACTACAGCTGTAGCACAGGAATTACATGATTTATCCATTTGAGCAAACCTCTTTTCAAGACATTTTTCTTAGAACAGCATAACTATTGACAAAATCTTGTTGTTAAATATGGATTTACTATCAATCTATGCAAATTTACACTTAAATCGTGCTGAAAATTAAAATATGCAGAACCTAAGCTGGTATTCAGTAGCACTTTTTCTACAAGAGATTTACAGGATCATGCCCCTAAATGCTTGATAAAATTTAAACATATTTGTTTATACCAATAAACTGTCAGTCTCAGACATCATGACTGGCTTCCAGTGTTTGTCAAAACTCGAAATTAGAGCTACACTTCAAAGCCCTAAGCTCAAGGAATGAAATACATGTTCTTACTGGATTAAAGCTTATGCCTAGACATTTGTGATCCCCCCAGAAGCTTTAAAAAACAACCAACCAACCAACCAACATGAAAACCCAAAGCAAGCCCCCCCCAACTTCTATAAACTCCAAAATTAATAATTTACTCCCATACATTCACAGTATATACACAAAAATCACAACAGAAACAATAATTTATTTTTGTTTGTTTGTTTGTTTAAAGAACATCAATGTAATGATTCTTGCAACTCAGGGAAGCTATATTTTCTTTAAAAAGGAGTTATGTTAAACTGCACATCCCTAGGGTAATAATGTGTTGGAGGGACACCTATCTGCAATATTCTGCAAAGGCTTGGTATGACTGTTACAAGTATTGGACCTGCCAGAGAGGATGCTGCAGTCTGGAGGGATGTGGGAGAGTGGACTCTGACCTCCTCTAAAGGCAAGAACTCACCCTCACCCCCACCTGACTGGAGAGAGGGCTCCCACCACCCTGAAAGAGGGCAGGGAGCAATCCATCTCTCTGTATTTTATGGAAGCTATGAATAAGAAAACGCTTACTGGAAAAAATTGACAGACCATTCAGATTTTAGAAAATGCCATCACATTTTACAAAACTTAAAAAAGCCTAGATTGAGATAATTTCTACTTTAATCCTTTTTAACAGCCTAAGAGACCAGTATTGTAAATTAAAAGAGAGACTGAAAGGCCCAGACACGTAACTAATAAAACCACTAACATATTCTAAGCAACACAGTTTCATAAGAGAGACTATCTATGTAAAAAGGGAAGGAACCCTTGTGTGTACAACCTTACAATTACTAAAAAATGGAAAACCAATGTATACATCCACCTGCATGGTGAACAGTCCTTACTCTCAGAGTGAGGGGAGATCTAGAAAAAATTCCCAAGACCAATTTCTACGCCTGCCTGTTCATTTCTCAGGATCCCTAGTGGATCCTGGACAAGATGGATCCAGACCCCACAGGACCTAGGGAAAACCTGTGATTCTGGACTCACCCTCAGGATCATCTACAGCCCAACACATGAAGAGGAACAGAAGCTCCAGCCCAGCACCACCCCTCAGTGGTGCAACGTGCAACTAAAGTGATGCTGGTTGATTCTTGTGTGGTTCTCCCTAATAAAAAGTGATCCCCTGTTTTGCTTGAGTCATGTGATTTTCAGTCATGAAATATGTCCTTTGAACACAAAGTCGTATGAGCTGGGTGCTCAAAAACAGTGAATAGGAGTTATTAAACTGCTTAAACTTCATCCTTGTGACACATGCATCTTTATAGCTCATGAGTAGACAAGTTTGTACCTCCAGGGAAAGCAGGAGGAAAGGCAAGATGCTTGGACACAGCAGTTAAATATTCAGGATCATTCTGTCTCAAGTGCAAAGCGAATGCACACTTTATATAGTTTATAGCCTCTCAATCAGAGAGGAAAAGGGAGGTTGAAGAAAAGATCTTACCATCCAAAGACATCCTTTTATTTTACAAAGACTGTAGAAGGCCTCTCCAGGAAGTCTTACAGCTATTTCTACATAAAAACCACAGCAAAGTTTCAATGCCTGTTTTTAAGCCTAGACAGCACAGCTAATATCTCCAGACTTCTGTAAGATTGCAGACAGGACTGACAACAGTGGACCAGCAAAGAAAAAAATTTCTCCAAAGCTTTCTAGACATAGAGTTAGTAGAAAAGGGGGAAAACCCCACACAAACAAACTAACTCACAGGTAACTACCAAAATATACATAGATTGTCACATCCTGACCTGAACAGGTCAGAGTTTGAAAGGTAAACAGCCATGGAGACAGCTACAGCAGGAAATAAATTTAACTTGTACAAAGACAGAAGCTTATCCAAAAAAATCACACGTTTGTTCTGTGCCTTTTTTGCTGAAAGAACATGAGACAAAACCAGGTTTCTGACAAAAAGTTACCAACAAGGCTCCAGGACACAGTTGAGCATTCTAAAAAGGCTACTGAGCTTCCATTTGCATGGTGGTGCCATTTGCAGCATTCCTTCACTTTCATTTATTTCAAAGCAAATCACTGATTTGCATGGAATTGCTAAGGAAATTCATATAACTGAGAGCAGGTCTGTTTGCACTTAATGGGTGGCTCCTTCCTCGCTTACATAGCTTGAAAGGAAACCCTTCTACAGAAATAAAAGGGAATTAAGGACGAAACATGATTTTATGGGTAATGAATGTGAGTAAAAACACTGAACAAGATGTATAATCAGGATTAAAGGCTTGGGCAGAGAAAGAACTAAGCAGAAGAACCACATCTGCATGTCCCATGTTGCCAATATGCCAAGATTGTGTCTGGAGTCAAACTGTGTCCAGAGCCATTTAATAAGAGAGTCTGCAATGCAGTCTTTCAGGGACAAAAAAGGGAAACATAATTCCAAGTGTCTGGGCATACAGTCTTTTCTTTAGCGCTGAGGAGGGACTGCAGCCAGCTACAGCATGACATGGTGTGCACTGCATTGCAGGAAAGACTTCCAGAGGGTTTCAGAAAAGTCTGCTGGCAGTGATAGAGAGAAGATCAGGAGGAAAAAAAGCATATGACTTCTTGGTTCAGAGATGACAATGACAGTCCACACCTTTCCAGAGTGTGTGAGCCTCAAAGAAGAAAAAAAGTTTTGAGGAAAAGCACACTCCTGCAGGGCATCTGAGGGAGTGACTGAGCAAAATGATTAGAAAAACTCAAGGCTGGGAAAAGGCCTCCCAGAAAAAACACAAAATAATTGTTTCCAACAAGACAGCTCATCCATTTTGATGCCATGAGCCAGCTGGCTGGCAACACCAGCTACATATTAAAATAGAATTTGCTATCAGTCGGTCTTCTGGACACAGCCCACACAACTCTCACACCTCTCTTCCACTCACACAGGAAAACTAAACTGCTATATTTCAGCACCTTCCTGGCATGCTCATTCTTCAATGCAATTTTAAACGATGGTAGCAAAGGCAGTGGGACACACAGAATAGTCCTAGGGTTGTCAGAGAGGCATTGTGGTCTGGGTTCAAAAAGAATATTCTAAGCTGACAAACACAGGCAGAGGATTGCCTCCTCTGGACTTCCATTGGGTACTTCTGCAACTGTGGGCCCAGAAATATCTCATTTTCCCTTTCAGTGAAGTGCTAAGAACATTAGCAATGAGCTGTGCCACAGATGAGCCACCATAATCCCAGTGCCCAGACAAATGCTGCTTGGACTCCCTCAGGATGCTCAGAGCAAGGGGCACAAAGGTTTAGAACCAAAATTTGAAAGTTCCAAATAAGCAAAGGAGCAGCAACACCAATGCAGTACCCACAAGTCATATAGGATGCAACTCTGTTCAAAAAGGTTCCTTTTTAGCTGATCATCTTAATGTCCCCTGCAGTGCATTCCTGTAGGTGGGCTGATGTGTGAATACAGAACCTTGAAAGAGTAATGAGATTTTCCATAAATTATTTCCAACTTAAAAAGCTAATTACCCACTGGAATAACAGTCTTCGCTGCTCATCTCACCTCCATCCTGAAATTTGCTCAGCCTTTCAAAGTATGATGATATGGGAACTTGAACAATATCTAGAATTGCCAGCAGCGTCCGGGTCAGTCTGAGAAGCTCACTAAAACTATAAAAGCCAAAGTATATGAGGTTTCGAGCCAGATGTACCACCTATGAGAAAAAGAAATTAAAAATGAAGGAAGTACTGACAGCCTTTGTGGTTTTCAGTTGCATTTCACACAGCAGCTTCCACAGAGATTCAGATCTTGAGTGCACTCAAACTAGCACAAGTCTTCCCACTGATTTTTGGAATAAGGTCAGTGACATTAAATGTTTGTCAGGATTAGACAAAGAAATTGGTCAGTCAGGTTACAGCAGACAGCAAAACCAAGGTGAGATTAAGAAAGGCTTGAAAGGATAAAATTGCATCTGCGAAAATACGTAAGATCAAGAAGAAAGACTGGGAAATTACTTAAAGAGGCACCAGCTTTGTGGAAGATGGAAGTCAGAAGAAGAGCCAGAAGAGTAAGATGACTGTGATAAGTTTGCACAGAGGTGATTTCAGGTGACCAGAGGCAAAAGCAACAAAGAGAAGTAGGCTGAAGGAAGAACTATAAAAGCTGTAAGTATTTCCCCTTTATTCTTTTCTATTTGAACTTAGAAAATCTAGGCCTATCTAAAGATTCTGTCAGGAATTTCCAACAATGTTTAAACCACAGGATTAGGTTATTCAGAGTGTTTGACTGAGTGGAATACCCTATACAGAAAACAGCACTTACTTATACTGTAGAATCCTTAAAGGTTATTTCACTAATGTAGAAAGAGCAGGAATTTTCACCATTCACCCCCCAGAAATCCCCTCTTCCTTCACTGAAATGCAACCACTTCAGGAGGAAGAAGGAAAGGTTGGAAAAACAAAGCAGACAAGAATATTATTTTCTGTGGTACCAGTCATCACCAAGAGCAATGGAATTAGGAACATGTGCTTCTTTAGGATATTTTACTCCATTTATTCTGCAACTGGCTTTAGTTTGAAAGAAGCAACATCAACTTATCTGAAATGAGGAATACTGCAAGCAGGATGCAGATAACTGAGAAGTACCTCAAATGTAAGTTTATTTTTCTCTTTGTCTCCAAATGGAAAGGGTTGATTCACAACTTCTTTCAAGTACTCTTCTACAAATTCCATTGTCAGTGCAAACTTTGTCTTCATTTCATTCCTTGAAGAGTCAGTGAACGAATCATACCTACAATACAGAGGACAGAAAGAAAGAAACTTCAGCACCTCTAATATCAGGATCAGCTGTCACTAAAGTAAAAACAAACTGATCCTGATCCTCTGAAATTACTCAGTTCAGCTCTTTGGAGATATGAAAGTGGATGCACAAACCTTCCCTCCAACAATAGCAGGAAGGATTGAAGCAAACGAGAGGAACATAGACAGGATAATACCACTCTTGTGGCAGATAGAACTCATAAACCTTGCTGTGGTCATTAACAGAAACAACACTGCCTGCTGCACTGCTGTGCTTCTTCCTCTGTCTCTCCAGCCAGATCCTCCCTGGCTGGGAGCATCCCAGTTCTACTGCTCCATCAAATCAGTGGAGCCAGACAGGGTTTCCACTGAAATCAATGGTCCTTTCTCTAAAATTAAATTTAACACATGCTTAAGTACTTTACTAAGTGAAGACCAAAGCCTCTGTGAGCTGTTTCTGGTCAGCAGCTGTGTCTTAATTCTGGGTTCCCAGCTGTGGCTTTCTGTTGAACTTGAGTTATAAAACCAAGTTCCAGCCTAGCAAACCTGTCATGTGAGACACAATTGGATTACTTGGAGTGCAGCTGGTCTGAGGAAAGGTCATCCCATCTTCCCCAGCTTGTTTAATAAAAGAACATACTCAGAAATTAAATTTAAATATTTAGTGATTGAAAGCTGCCCATGGAAGTTTTCAAGAGTAACCATAATTAATAGTTCCATGCTCTGCAACAAAATGCCTTTTCACCCATATGATTTGTGGACATTGGACATGTACAACTGTGTTCTGAGACTAACCCTACAAAAAGCTTTTATACTTAAGTTTGAAACACTTTCAACTCACTCATGAATTGTAATCTTGGTAGGAATTTCAGTCCACAATCTGGCGTATTTGACAGGCACCACAGACTCCTGGGGATCTCTGTCCACATGCATGTGCAGCATCAGACGGCAAAAGGAAGCCCGCAGGTCATAGGGGAGGCTTTCATCAGACATACACCTGAGGATCAAGTCTACTGACAGCTGGGCAGAAATCTGGTTGATGGCAAGATACTGGCGGTCCAGGCACATTCTTGCAAAGAGGTTCAGTTGGTACCTTAAAAAAAAGGTAATAATGTGGTATTCAAGGAAATCGCTTGGAAAGAACACACCTCAGAATCTCATGTTACAAGCCTGTTGTGAGCCTTTCTGATATAAATCCTAAAAAATAACAAGAGTGACTTTGTTAAGCAAGGGAGCAACTTGACATTAAAAACTATTTGTTCACTTGTTGTTTCAATTTCATAAAACATCATTCCATGATTCCATTTCTTCTCTAATCCTTGAGACACTCAGGACTCTCTGTCCTCAGAATGTACCTTGCTTCTGGGGCAGCACAACCTAAAATTAAAGCCCAATAAATAAAATGTTGGAGGGAAAATAAAAAAGACACACAGAGAGATGTGATGAGTAAAGGAAACTCTACATTTGCCTGGAATAGGCAGCAGAGACTGTGATGAGTCCCACAGGAAAAACTTGAAATGAACTTTTAATCTCAGTTTCTGGCATGACCTGGTTTCCTTTTTTTTTGATATTGGCAAATGAACTGTATAAGAACAACACTGGGGGTCTTAATGGAGTTTACATTTTCTTCCCTTAGAATAAGCAGGTTTACCTGTAGTAGGTAAGAACCTCTAAATCAGCTTTTGTGCCCTCCTTTGCCTCCTGAGCCAGATGCCTGATGGCTTTGCCATGAGGCTCCTTGTTGCTGTCGATCCAGTAAAGCCACACTTCTTCTTCATCAATGTCATCCGAGATGATCGGGCATTCCAAGGGATTGTCCATTTGGGTTGAAACCAGCCTGCAAACACAAACCATTCACAATGGAGCCACAAGCAAAGTGCTCGGAATTTAAGAGAGCAGACAACAAAAAGGTGGCATGTTCTGATTACAGATACTCACTTGGTCTGTATGAGAATGTCAGCATTCCCTGGGCTTAGCATAAACTTGCAGATGAGTTCCTGAGTTACTGGTATTGCTGTGGTGTTAGATACACACAGGTCTGACAGATAATCCAAGAATCTGCAGTCATAAAAAAAAACAGATGGAGCAGAACATGAGACTTAAACTACTACTGGGGAACAGAAGTAGAAGTTTCTAGCACTCAGCATTAGAGGATGGGTAAACTAGAGGGACTCTGTATCATGATATTTATCAACATATGATCTTTGCCAGTTCATACTCTTGCAACTCACAACACCTTCCACTAGATCAGGTTACTCCAAGCCCTGTCCAGCTTGGCCTTGAACACTGCCAGAGAATGCTGGGCTCCCAGAGAAGAGTGCAGATCTGTCAGGACCTGCAGATAAGACTGTGCATTTAAAGAGGTCATTCCATGTAAAGCAGAAAGAACAAAGCTTTGCAGGGAAATCAGTTTCCTCTGAATTTGTCTCTCAAATTTAGTTCTTCTGATGTTTAACAAGGTTCAGGCTGAGGCCTTCCTCAAAGCTGGGACATTCATTAGGTACGTGGGTTTGTCTCTTTTCAGGGATTCCAGTGTGCGCAGTAACAGGAATCCGTTCTGCAGCCTTTGACAGTGAAATATAAGAAGGGCCTCTTCCTTCTATGTAGTTTCCACTTTCTACAATATTCGTAGGAATTGAGTATCTCTGAGCCTACCACTCCTTTAGCAAATGTAGCTAAAACTGAGCAAGGTGCTCAAGAGCTGGTGGGGGAGAAGATGTGAGCAGGCGCACATGCACACACACACAGATCATATATTCCACTTCCTTAGAAACGCAGGTACAAACTCTGACCATCTGCTATTAGCCATCCAAGGATCCAACAGTTTGAACCTCTAGAACAGACCACAGTCATCACTAAAGTCTGGGAACTGTAGTGGGTGAGTACAGACAGCATTTTCAAGGTAGATTTAGGAAAAAGTCTACCCATAACTGAAATTAAGCTTTGTGACAACTGGTAATTAAAAGTGCATAGCAATCACAAAGATAAAATTAAGCAAACAGCACATAATTACATGGAATTCTGGGGAAGTCACCTGGTTGGAGCCAAAACTCAGGAAGGTTTTTAATTTTAGCTCATGTGTTTTAGAGCAGAATGCCACAATTCTCACTCACCCCAACACTCCTGAGAAAATCTACAAGACTCCACAAAAATCAGTATCAAAATCAAGTCTTTACTGTTCAGATTACACAATTCTGACAAGGGGCAATTTTGAAACATTTATTGCTCCTGAATTCTTCAAAGTGGATACAGAGCAATTGTATGATGTGCTTATGGCATAAATTCCATTACATCCTCCACCACAAGAAAACAAAATGTGCAATTTTCAATAAACAAACCCTTCAGAGACAGAGCTGATCTTGTGATTTCCTCTTCATTTTGACCAAGCCCAGCCCAGCTGAGCATGGGAGAGGCAACGAGCTTACAGAGTGAGACAAACAGGCATATTGAAAATAACTGAGGCAGTGAAGCAGCAAGTTCCATTTTAAAATAAAGAAATTAATTCCTTTTATATTCTGACCTGAAGCTTATAAAAAAAAAATAATCAGCTGAGTGAAATTCAAGGCCAGAAATTTTAATTTGGAATAAAATCTGGTCTAGGACACAGGTTTATGGGATCTTCACTGTCCTAGGCCCCTTTCAGGTCTGACCTGGAATCAGAACCTGCAGGAAAACTGATATTAACAAAAGCTTAGAAAAATTGACATGTGTGTATAATTTACATCAGGATTAATAACAGGGGAACCAACACAAGTGGCAGTTTCACAGAGGAACTGCAGAGCTGGGAGAAATTAAACTTTCTCTTCATTTCTCTTTGCCCCAGTCAGAACTGAGACCAAATTTTCAAAGCTGTCCTGTAAAGTATAAGCCCTCTTTTCAGTAAGCTCTAGTTTTAAAATGTGGATATGGGTAAATTCCAAGAATTACAGGTAGCTCTAATATTTTCTGTACAGGTGGGGTTTTTCTCTGCCAGGTCAAAACAGGGAGAAAGAGACATCAAAGCAATGAACAGCATGTAATTCACAGCTACTGGAAAAATGCTACATGGACCACTTCAAACCTTGGCTCTCGATTTCTCCTGAGTAAATTCACAAACGTCTCTATTTCTTTAGCCGTGATGTGTTTCTCTAGCAGTTTTCTGTTGTTGTGCAACAAAGCTGTGATGGTGTCTTCTGCCAGAATATCATAACCAATCTGGGACTGCATGACGCAGAAGTTCTTAGCAATATATTCCTAAAAAAAGGAAAAATTCCCATGATGACCTGCTGAGCAGTAATGTTTTCTGTTGTAGAACCAGAGGCATGCAGCTCAGATAACAATCAAAATAACGCTCAAAACTTTCCTCTCTGAACTGGCCTGAACAAAAGAACTTTTGAACAACTCAAATGTGTACCCTGAGAAACAGATTCTATATTAGGGATGACTAACTCTTCTTATTCTTTCATAAACCAAAAGAATGAATCCATGAAAATATATCCAAAATTTAAAATTCAAGAAATGGCAACATCTTTTCTTTTTTTTTCTTTTTTTTTCTTTAAAAAAACAAACAAAAAAAAAACCAAACAAAAAAAAACAAAACCTGAAAGGTTTTTATAATGTTTAAGAAGCTTTTTTCTTGAGTATTCCCTCCTCTTTTTCTCTCCCTTCAGGACAGAAATATTTTTGTGAAACACTGAAAAGAAAACAAAGAAGCCACACAGCAGTTCAGGCTTTTATCTCCAGTCCCTTCAGTCCATGGTCTGAAATACCTCTTGTTCACAGGAAGTCTCCAGCAGTGGGAAATCAGGCTATCTGATATAACAACCTCTGCTCTGACTCACTGCCATCCCTCTACAAACATTTAAGCAAGAGAAGCAGACAGCTTTACAGATTTCCCACTTCACAATCCAGGCTCCAAGAACATATTTTTAATAACAGAAAGCTCATGAATGAAGCAGTGAACCTCAGTCTCAGTCTGAGCCTGCAAATGTACAAAGTGAACTTGTGATATTCATTGTTGAACTTTCAAGTCACACACTACTAAGCTACACACACAAAAAAAAAAAGGCCTTTCCCCATTACCACAGAATCTCACTTGTAAGTGCAGAGAGCCATGTCAAACCCAGGACATATAATTATAGAAATCAGGAGGAAAATTATTCTCAATACCACTGACCTGGTTCTTCCTGTAGTCCTGTTGGGAGTGTCTTAGAACCCTGTAACATAATCTCAGCATGTATTTGTAGGGAGCATATCTCTGGTCACCCAGGTCTTCAAGTCTCAGCATTGACCCTTCACCTTTGTCCTTAAAAGGAGCTTTGAGGATGCCAAATATCTGTTCAAAATCAAAATCACTGAGAGTGCAAACCAGACCCAGATTTCTGCTGAACTTAGAACAGTCAATGGAAATGTCCTCTGACAGGATCAGCACAACAGCCTTGACTAAACACAAGTGTGGACATAATCTGAGACATCACAGCTTTATGCATTTGGGGTTAGCTTTACATTTCCCACCAACTTGATTGACATTGACTCTTTACTATCCCCAATTTTAAACAGTTTTAGTTACACATCTTAAATTTGGATAATTTAATGATGAAAAAGGAGGACAATGCTGCCTGCTATCCAGTTTCATCCTTTTCCCTTTTTTTTAAATTTCTTTCCATTGACTTCTCAAAAAGGACATTAATTTTATTTACTTGCAAATTTGCCCTCATGCAAACAAAGTCAGAGCTCCATAGGGCCACTATGTGGGGAACACTTGCAGGACTGGGACCATGTTCCATGTTTGTCTCAAATTTTGTGAACAACTTGCGCTCAAACATGATCTTAATCAGAATCACATGAAATTAAGAGCCCTCTACAGCCCCTTGTTCTTGACTCTGATTTAGGGACCAAGAGATGAGCTTTGACAAAGTAGTGTCATTTATACCCAATCCAACCACACACAAACCCAACCTGGCATAAGCCAAGTTACCCAAAAATAACTTTTTCTCACATCACTCTCTCCTACAATCTGTTTGCATATACAGTTAAGTTATTAACACAGTAGGACATACCTGAGCCAATATATTTTGCTCCCTCATTAATTTCTGCCGTTCCCGGTTTGGCTTGGTAACGATCACATCCAAAACTTCTTGCCCGTTATTGGGCACATCAGCAACAAAGAAAATGAGATCTTCCAGTAGCTTGGTTACAAACCTAGAAAGAATAGACAAATCATTATTATAAACAGTCACTCAACACTTGCTAGGATTCATTCAGAATGAAAATCACATTTAATCACATTAAGCTTTACCTGGCACAATGGAACTTCCACACTGCAAAGTTAAGTACTTAAGGATTCCAAGCCTTGGTTCAGCAGAAACTTAAATCAATCACTGGGCTGTTTACCAAGGCATTAAACAACAACCAGAGAGAAAACAAGAGAAAAATACAGTCTTCTGGATTGATACACAGTATTCAGAAACCCAAAATCTATACCAGTTGGCCTCAAGGCCCAGGAACAGTAAACAGAAACTTCCACAGCCTAACAAGGAGTTTTGTACTTTATTATGGGTCCATGATGGACTCACTAGAAGAATAAAAACATTCTGCCACTACTGACCTATGAAACTGTTTCATATATATGCTTTTTCATATATATATTCATATGTAACTGTTTTCCTATGTATACTGACCCAAGAAACTGTATTTGTTTCACTCTTTGCTAAACAAAAGATTTGTCAGAAGCGGGTGCTAAAAAAAAACAGAGGCAGTAGTGATTCCTTCTCTCCCACTTTCAGAAAATGCAAAAAGACAAAATATAAATGGGGAAGAAAAAGAAAACAAAGTCATCATTGCCTCCTTGTTACTAACACCTTGCCAGGCATGCAGTGAGAAACACAGATGTCCACAAACGTCAAAGACTATCCCTTAAGAGCACCAGCAATCTTTTACATGAAAACTCAGCATCATCTCAATTTGGCCAATGTCTAGTCTATAACTAACAAATCTGCCAGCTATGAGAGAGGCAGGAAGATCCCCAATCGATTTTCAGTCATCTGTGGGATCCAGACACAAAGTTATCATTATCCACAAGTGAGCTGGGCTGCTCACCTAAACCCTCTGAGTGAGATTTAGCTCTAAAAGCCTCAGCTCCCTGGAAGAAAACAGCAAGGTGTGTGTCACCTCCACAAAATAAAGTAGAAAAGGCAACTGTAGGATGAAATAATGACGAATAAACTGTTAGGACTTCCACTTCTCTGTGCTAGAAGGTGATAAGGCAGGAAAAAGATTATTTGGGGGGTTTTCCAAAGGGCAATCACAAGAACAAACAAATAATGGTACTGCTGTGAAGCAGCTCTGAAACATTTCACATGTTTGTTGTACCGTTTGGTCAACATAAAGACCTGACAATACTGACAGTGACACAAGGTTTGTACAGGTACATCCCACCTGGACAGTGTCACATCCCTCTATGGGTCAACTTCACCATGAAATGGCCCCACAGCTTTTCAAGAGTGAGTTCCAACACCCAGGCCACTAAAAATCTGCCTGTTAAGATATTAAACTATCTGGTCTAATTGTTATTGGAAACTGACTGCAAAAATTCAGTTTCATCACCAAAAATTAACATTTTCAGAAAAAAAGAAAAGCTGCATATTATGTATTACAGTTATGAATTCACACTGCCAGAGATGATGTCTTATATTCAGTTAAACCACAGGCAGCTGAAATCAAATAGTGAACTATATCACTGGCAGCAGAATATATCTGGCTACAATGTACAACAAATGTACAACAAAATCCCTTGATACAGGGATGGGTGTGAGAAGCAGACATTCTAATAGTGCCACAGAAGAAATGGGAATGAACACCAAAATTATGTAAAATAGAAAGAACTGAGAAAAATAGAAATGAGAAAGCAAAGGGATCACTGGAGCAGCTTCTCAGCCGCACTGAGACCTCCTTCCAAGGTTTTTGAAGATTTGCAGTGTGGTGAACTTTAAGCAAGTCAAGAGCCCTACAGTGCTGCTTTCCTGTACATGAGAATCAGATGCAATGCACCCTCACATTACAGCTCAGAAGGAGATTATCAAAGGAAATCCAGACAAAGACATTTGCCCAGGGAACTACCCATTTATTTATGTGGCCAGTGACCTAGGGAGGTGCTGTTTACCCCACTTTTACACAGGAGATACACAGATCAGCCTGTGGTACAGCAAGGATGCTCTGACAGAGGTGGAATCTAACCCCAGGCTGGCACTCTCAGAACTGAAGTGTCCTCTCCCAGTTACCTCTGTCCATGTGGATATCACCTACCCATGCCTGTGTTATCATGAGTAACCAAACACCAGTTTAGCAGGGGAAAAATTAAAACTCACTAACCTCCTTTCATTTTGGGTTATTGTTCCATTCTCCAGCTTTTTAACAGTTGATGCTAAAACCTTGTTGGCATCGTTGGCAAAGTCCAAGTCTCTGACCTCAGACAGAGGAACTGATACAATGGCGAAAGCTTCCTTGTCCTCTTTGGTCTGGCACGTCCCAATCTGCAATAGGTTTTGGTTTAAAGTGGGTGAGCAATGCTCTTACCTTTATCCTAGTTATTATGCACATTTCATAGGTTAGAAGTGAGACAGCTTCAGGAGTGAGTTTGGGATTTTGTTTACCTTTAACATCACTGGCCTCTCTTCCTCAGTGTCTATCGGGATGCTGGTGCTGGTGACCCAAGTGTTGGTGCACAAGTGCCTCAGTCGGACATAGGAGTTCCTAAAGAGGGACAGAGCAAACAGCAGCTGAGATGGATCAGTTCTGAGCCCACGTAGGCAAGTGGATGCCCTGCAACACCTGTCTGTGGCATGAGGCTGGAGCCACACCAGCCACTGCAACAAAAGGGGAAGGTGGACCTAAAAGACACTTGAGTACCCCTTTCCTTTGACTCTTTCTTTCTCACCCAGAGCAAAGCTGCAACAAGAACTGCCAGCATCTTGGGATTATGCAGAATGCTGGGTTTAAGTATTTATGTAAGTCTAGGAGTAAAATATTCTTTAAAGAAAAAAAAACACTATAAGGAAGATGTTATAAAATCCCATCTGAACAGAAATACATTTCATGAATAAACTCAATTCTTTTATTATTTTCTTATTCTTCAGAATAACGAACCCTTTTAAGCTGTCACAGCACAAAAGCCAGAAAGTAAAGCTGACCGTGGTTTCACAGCTTCATCATAATGATCTGCAAACCCTTGTTCCACAGCAAGCATTTACAGTACCAGTTCTCAACTGAAAATCAAGTGAACAAAGAGCAGATATGAGATCCTTCTAAATTCTTTCCATATGATAATCTGTGGTATTATCAAAAAGCAGAGCTGAGAAATCAATTACAATTTTAACTCTGAATTTTACTTTTGAAATATATTCACTGTGGTCTCCATTCACACTCTCCCTTTCATGCTGATGGGCTTTTGAGTATTCCAGTAAGCAAATTATCTAGCAGAACTTAGCATAGCAAACACACTTCAAAGTCACATACATCAGTATTTGTGGGTACCCAGCTTTAAAATCCACCCTCATAACAACCAGCCCCGAGTGTCTGCAAGCCCATTCAGTCACAGCCAACACTGTGTGACTTATCTAACCAATCTCAGCTATGCTACACAGCTAAAATTTCAAATATTGATAATTAAAACCCAAAAGCCACTTGCTGAACACATTTGAATAACAAATTAGCTTAGTGGCATCATGATCTGTCAGGGAAACAGAAGCCCAGCTCACCCCACACATTATTTTGTTGGGAACAATTCAGTTAAATCTATTAAAAGTACATTTTTTTCAAACAGTGCACAGAGCTCAATTCTATCCTCACACAGATCTGTGCAATATTTAGACCATTATTTTTTCTCTTCACAGACTCTCTCTAAGTGTCACTTGTTTTATCCTTATAATTATTTTACCCAGTCACAGCAGCAGTATCATGTTTTATACATCCCTTATTTATCCATGAACACTCCTCATATTTTAACAGAAGGATAATACTTGCTCATGTTTGACTTTTTCTGCTTTACTCACCAGCATAATGCCAGGAAGAAACCCTGTCAATGCAGCACTATTTTTTGCCCTTTTTTCATTTCCTTTTTTTTTTTTTATTTTACCTTGGAACCAGGCAATCAGCTCTCTGAAGGGTGGTAGCATCCAGTTCAAAGAGAGATGCAATGTCATTTCCATGTGGCACAGAGACCAAAGTATACATAATCTTCTCCCCTGCCTGGCGTTTCTTCTTTGAAGCAGGAAGGTCGCCGTCTCTCTGCTGATTAGGCACAAGGGTTATTTGCTTGCATCAGGCCCCATTAGAATTCTTCAATTACCTTGCAGGCAAGTAATACATTTGAATTGGATGATTTTTTTTTTATTTTTTTTTTCCTTCTAGCAAGAATCTACCATGACTGGCTTTGGAGTAACACAAAGGATGCACTTTGCTCCATGGGGTCTCAGGCAGTCATTAGAACAACAGCAGGCCACGAGCTACAGAGGCACTGCAGCACTGGATATGCTTTACTTGACACCTACAACTTCAAAAAAACCTTCAGTAGTTGCAGACCCCTCACTCCCAGTCAACATGGCTACACAGTGCTGGTCTGGAAAGGGCCACATTTGAAAGAAGAGAATTAATGAAAATTAGATTTTTATTTTATTTTCTTTTTTCTTTTTAAGACAAGGAGAGGACTTAAAAAGTAAGCAATTTGCCTAAATCCATTGTTGTTTTATGTAAGTCTGATGGTTTTTTCCTCTCAGATGGTAGAAACAAGGCAGCACACTTTCAGAGAATAACAGAATCATTTAGGTTGGAAAAGGCCTCCAAGATCATCAAGTCCAGTCTTTGACCAATCACTACCTTGTAAACCAGCAAGCCACATCCCTTTGTTTCTGGACACCTCCAGGGAGGGGACTCCATGACCTCCCTGGGCAGCTCCTTCCAATGACTGTCAGACCTTTCCAAGAAGAAATTATTCCTGATGCCCAACCTGAACCTCCCCTGGAACATTTCCTCTTGTCCTGTGGATACTTTCCAAACAGCAAGAACCAGAACATCTGTTCCATCAGGACCAGCTTGTCATGGGAAGGGGGACAGGTAAATCCCAGCTGGATTGCATTACAAATCTCAGCACAGTCTGATAACACACTCAAGACTGGGTCCAACCCAGGTGTGACTTTACCCACTGTGATTTTACCCTCTGCAAAGGCAGGAGTTGCTCCCCTCGAGGGACAGAGTTACTCAAACAAGGCACGTGAGCTGAGCTGGGATCTTCCTCCCACCACCTGCTGAGACTCCATAGGAATTTTGTGACCCCGCAGCATCACCCTGTATCTTCAGTCACCTCCATACCTTTGCCTAATGACTCCAAGTGCCACCTTCCCTGAGAACAATTCTTGGCTTGATGGAGTCATTCGGAATCTGTGCCCGTAACCACGTAACCAACAGAATTACTGGTGTGAGTAAAAGTTGCTCCTCTGGGGTGCTGAGCTACACATCTTACAAAAGACTGATAACCAATTAAGAGATTGGCAGCCCAGGGCCCTTCATGTACACAAAATACATCACAGAGGGAGAGGAGAAGAGCAATGAGTAAAGTCAAAAGAAAAAAGATCCAACCCTGGAAGCATGAAATGCTATTATAATGATTTACAATACAACACTAAGGAAGAGCCGTACAACGTAAAAGGCCAGGCTGTACTTGGTTTGCATTAGTAGCTTGATTAAAAACAAACTGTAAGGGGTAATCAAGGGCAAAGCTTTGATTATCCATATTGCCAATTGAGATTAAATAACAAAATCAAGGATGAGTAAAATTGTGGAAGAAAGGGTTAGTTATCAACTCATTTCAAGGCGCTTTTTGAATCCTTCCAAAACATCCATTTTTTCATTATCAAGCTTACAAAATGCCAGCTTTCCATCCCATGACATCTATCAGGGATGGAGAGAGCAGAAAAAAAAATACAGAAAGAAATTTTTCTTAAGTTCCTCTACTCATTAGAGTACTGCCACAAGTGTTTGAGAGGAAGACTTGCTAAGACAAAGACCAACCATGTCCTGTGACTTGCACGAGAGTAAACTCATCAGACAGTCCCCACATCTTCCTGTATCTCATGCCCAAAAATAGTACAGAAAAATGCACAAAAATTTAACCTATATGCAAAGATTGAGAAAATAGCAAATTGCTTTTGTGATTTCCATACATATTTTGTTTTACATACTCGTGATGAGACACAAACTGAAAAGGCACAGAAACAATAAAAAAATCCTTCTGAGAGTTTAACAGGTGTGAGTCAGAGTCTAATATTAAATGAAGAACTACTTCCTACACTTCATAACAAAACAGAAAACTGGAAATTCAGTTTAAAATTCAAGAGCTCTGTAAAGGGATGAGTAGTGCAGGATAGTTTAGAACATCATCCAAACATTTTGATTCCACAACTTACATTCAAATCTAGTCAGGGTTGCCCAGAAACTACCCACTTCACTATAATTTCCAAACTGAAATGACTGGTATACAAAGAGGCAGGACACTTCATAATTGTATGGTTTTCTTTTTATCCTGGGATTCTGGGAAAAATACAGACCAAAATGTGAAACCATACGGGAAGGGAACATGGACAGGACACCTGACTCAGATTGGGCAACGGGATATTTCCCACCACAGAATACCATAACTAGTGTACAAACTGGGTGAGCTGGCAGGAGGCAGAGTCAAAGGCAGGCCTCCTGGGCTTTAGCAGTTCACACCAACCATTAGCTCTGTGGAGAAGTTCACCCAGCAGTTTGGGGCTGACCTCGCCCACTCCCTGGTGCCCCCAACAGTTGCATTGATCCAGTTAAGCAATGGAATTGGCTCACCAGCCCAAAATCCCACCAACCAGCATCAGCAGCTGGAAGACATAGCAGCAAGATCTGGTTTTTACCCTAAAAAGAAATTCAGCACAGGGCAAGACAGTGCCTGAAATGCTGCTAACTACAATGCCAAGCTTAGCTGAGCGAAATCAGACCTGCACGAGAGCTCTACAGCAGTTCCAGGATGAACTCCCCCACAAGCCTCAGAGCTCTCCTTACAGCATTACTTTAGAACCTGAATCTCACAACTCAACCTGGGTTATGGGAGTTAAGCACTACTCATGGAAAAAAAAAATCTAACAAGAAGTGATCCCCCCCCACCTGACAGCTCTGGAAACAAGTTCCATACAAGGGGTACATGAGAGACAGCAGTGCTGCCATTACATAAGAACAAACATGGATTTGTATCTATGTCTCAGTTTATGTCCCAGTGCACGTGCACATGCCTGTGTGGGAGAGAGAGAATGCACAGACACTTGCATACATAAAGCTTCTCATGATAAATTAAATTTAGTAAGTTGCCGTGAGAATCCACACTTAACCCAGCCATTATTGAATCAGCAGATGAGTCCACGTGAAGATGTGGAAAGAAGTGAAAGTACTAGGCTAGTTTAAATTAATTAGACAATAGCTCAGGAGAAGCACTGCATTCCTAAGCAGATGAAAACAAGTTGACATTTGCTCAGGTAGAAACTGGCATATGAGCAGATGCAGCCAGCAAAACTAGATTCAATTAAGAGAAAAGAAGAAAAGAACTGCAAAGAAACTCAAATGCTGAGAGAAGAAAATTCAACTTAAAGCATTGTGAAGAGAAAGCCAATGGAACAGTTTCAGAGATGTTGGCGATGTGGTCAGTGACAGCCAAGGAAATCACTCTCAAGACTTAATAAAAAACAAAACAAAAAAAAAACCCAGTTAAATTACATGCCAGGAGTATAGAGAACTGTGGGTAAAACAGTATTACCAAATAGTACATTCCTAGGAGGAAAATGTATATAGCTTTGATTGTCCCAAACAACAACAAACTAGCAACAGGCTTTCACAAATCACATCAGACACACATCCTAGATGAGGAAGGTGTAATCACTTCATTCTTGTGCGCTGGTTAAATCACTTACGAGGATGAAAGAGACACAAATTCAGTTGTACATCTGCCCAGCAGGAGCTGGACCCACACCTTCCAAATAACCCAGTGTAAGTATCAGTGGTACAAGGAGCGGAGTCAGCTCCTTCAGCCTAAGGAAACCTCAGTGTGCACTGACACAGAAGGCTGTGAGCCCCCAGCCTTATTCTGCAGCCGCAAAGCTCAGTAACCACATCCAGGAAGGGGAACAGAGCAAACCCCCACAGCACAGCCAGGGCACTTCTCCAGGTGGGACCCACCCAGGGAAGCAAAGACTGAACATTGAAAAAAAGAATCCCAAGTAGTGAGAAAAATCACCATTTTGGTGAGAAGGGGAAATATTGATCCAAGCCCACAGCGAAGTCTGTAGCTCCTGGGCTAACACCACTGATTTATAGTGCATCATGATTTAAAAAGAAGCTTAAAGAGAAAAAAAAACCCACAGACATACTGCTGCCAGGTGGAGGGCAAATGTAAGGAGAGACAAATTCCATGTTGGAATCAGTGACAAAATAATCAGGCCCAGTCAGATTTGTCTTCCTTGAGACTTACAGCCCAGAAGAAAACCCTTTTCACAGCTCTTAATAGAATTTGTTACTAATCGCTACCTATCCCAAACGTTCCTTATTTAACTCGACTGGGCATCATACCTAAAATTCAAGACACTTACATGGAGTTTTGCTTACAGAAGGACCTTAATTTCAACTGCAAAAAGCAGTACAAAAACAGGACAGACCTAAAATACTTTTTCTTTTAAAACCCGATCTACAATTCCAATTGCTGAAGATACCTTTTGTGGCATAGAGACAAACAAGGATAATGCCCTGCTCCTGAATGAATACATTAAGCTGCACTACAGATTTCAGCAGAAATTAAATTTAATAACAGCCAGAGTTCTGAAAATGCCTGTTGAATCCAGAGCAATGTGGTATCTCAATATATTAACCCAGTTTAGGAGGCTCTTGCAAACCAGCATTTTCCCAGAGCAGTAACGTGAGCAGAACTCCATAGGTTAGATTATTTTAAAAATTCTTTAAAAGAAGAAAATGGAGTAAATGAATGGCCAGCCTTGCTCCTGCCTGCTAGGAGCCCTGGCAGACAGCACAGCAGTTAGCCTCCTGTAACACCTTCACTGTTGACTCATTTGTGAGTCATCAGATTTTTAGCAGAGACATCACGTTGCAATCCTGTTGTTAGGAGCCAGAGACATTCTGTAAGAAACAATGTATGCACTTCCAGAGCTGATTCAGACCCGTGTGCAACAGCAGAATAATAATAATGTGCTGGCATCCGTGTCTCCCTTTCTCCCCCAGCCTCCCCAGTGGTTTGACTGCCGGCTTTATATAAGCTGCCATTTTTAAGCTGATGTTTTTTCAAGTCTATTCCACTTGTTTAAACTACATCACCCATATAAAATATATAACTCAATAAAATTAATTCCTGGAAGGTAAAATAATTTGTTTTTTAAAAAAAAAATATTAATTTACAGTTTATCTGAAAAAAAAATCTCCTGGGCTGGCAGCAAGAAGGAAAAGTTAGAATTGCAGAATGTTGGGAATTCATAAAGATAGATAAACAGAAGTCAAAGGAGAAACATGAAATTGCACCTGGCAGCCCACGGTAGAACTGCCCAACTTCTTTACAAGATTAGTAAGTGCATATCAGTCTCAGTCCTAACAAAAATTTCAACAATAAAAGGCAGATTGCAGCTGATTAGAATTAGCCCTCTCATGAAAATGCAGACAAATGGAGATAAGGTACCCATGCAATGTCAGCTTTTAACACAAAGGCACTAACAAATGCCAGGTTCCCAGCTGTTCCTGACATTCCCCTGACAATTGTAGCATTCTTCTTGATACTGTACATTTCAGTCCTTACAAAAAGCATATTAATTTTCAGCATAAAAAACCACCAATTTTCAGTTTAGTGGGAACTGTAACACAGAGCACTGCATTTTGATACATGATACTCTACAATCTCCTAGACTTTAAGAGATGAAGAAGCTTTTATTTTTTTTATAAGACCTTTAAATCACAAAAAAGTCTTCCCATTTAAAAAAAAAAATAAAAAATCTTCTGGAGCTTAGATGTGGGAATATTAATCAACGCATTTTAAGGCCAAAATTTGCCAGAATAAAAAGCAGTGCTTCACAAGACAATTTGGCTGGATTGTCAAGAAGCAGCTCATAAACAAGCAATGAACCTCAGTCGAAACGTACCTTTAATGCTTGAGAACAGAAGTCCTGGTGACTTCCAGTAACATTTATATTCTCTGGAGCCAAAACCCTTTCAGACTCTGGAGTCACTTAAGGCAAGGCAGAAAAGATATGCTTAGGCAGAACCTCAGTGTCTGTGCCCACTGCTGCATCATGTAAAACTCTTCTCCATTGCTGCTTCCCAAAATCCAGTTGCCTGAGCAACTGGGATCAGGCCTTGCAAACCAGGTCCTGAACGTGCACACGCAGCCCCAGCCCACACTGGGGAGTTCAGGGTTGGCACAGAGTGCACAGATGGCTGTGCTGCCTTCAAAACTCAGACAACAGAGAAGGAGCTGCCACCCTTCAATCCAACAGCCCAGTAAGAAAAGAAAGAGTCCCAGGATGGGCCAGGCTGAAGGGGCCACAGTGGGTCAGACAGCACCATCTCCCTGCTCCAGTAGAGCCATCCCAGGGCACACAGCACAGGATTGTGTCCAGACAGCTCTGGAATATTCCCAGTGAGGGAGACTCACCCTCTCTGGGCAACCTGTGGAAGTTTTTCCTCCTGCCCAGGTATAATTTCAGGGATCAGTCCCTGCCCGTTCCTCTGGTGCCATCGCTGGGCCCCCCGGAGCAGAGCCTGGGCCCTGCTCTGAGCCCTCCCTGCTCACAGGGACACCCAGGGCTGAGGGCTCCTCTCAGCTGGGGCTCCTCTCGAGGCTGGACAGCCCCAGCTCCCTCAGCCTTTCCCTGTCAGAGATGCTCCAGGCCCTAAATCATCTCTGCAGCCTCTGCTGGCCCCGCTCCAGGAGCTCCCTGTCCCTCCTGTGCTGAGGAGCCCAGGGCTGGACACAGCTCTCCAGATGTGCCTGGCAGGGCTGGGCAGAGGGACAGCATCACTCCCTGACCTGCTGGAACTGCTCTTCCCAGTGGAAGAGCAATGCCCTTCTTGGCCACAAGGGCACAGACTACAGGTTCAGTCCTTGTGGCCACAAAGATTTGTTTATTCATCTCCCATTTCCCTGCTACTCAGACTTCAAACTTCACTTCAATCTCCCCCTTCCAGATTTACTTCATGGGCTGTATTTCAAAACTGATTGTTCCAAAAGATGGAAAAGAAGATGCCTCTGCAGTGAGCCAGTTAGGCAGTGACCAGGCAAAGGAAACACTAGATCATAACCACAGAGCAAGGAAAGCCTGTGTGTTCCAGGTTATGTGCTGTTGGATACAAGACTGGCATGGCTGATCCTTAAAGAGCTCCAAATATTTTAAGATTCTTTTACTTTCAAGGGACAATTCAATACACTGCATCATTTTAACATAAAAGAAATTCCTGCACAAGGAAGTTTCTCTATTTGGTTGGTCGAGGGCAGAATAAATGCTTAAAGAGCCATTGCTGACTCATGGCATTTCCAAAAAGATTATAAAAGGGCGAAGGATCCAAAGGGATTTCTACCATGCTAATAGAGCCTGTAGGCTTGGATTTACATGGAGGTGCTACCAAAAATTGCTAGAAGTTCTTTTACAAAATATCTTTCACAAGAAAATGCTGACTGCATAAATTAAAATTTCCAGAGAGACATCAGTTTTGATCATCAATCAGCTTTGATTCCTTTTTTATTGGAAGTATTTCTCTAATGTGATTTATCTGGTCTGGAATTTTAGCTGAAACAAATACCTAGGAGGAATAAACCAAACTAATAGTGAAGCCAACTTTAACATTCATGCTTGTGCCTTTGTCATCATCCAGTCCAGAGAATATTTAACCATTTAGATAAACTTAAATGGCTACAGAGGGAAAACCTACACCATAAATAAGTACAGTGTGGTACAGTAGGTTTGGATCCTCAGTGACAAGGGCCTAACACCTACTCTCTGGGGAATTCTAGAACTGATGTTGATTTCTATTCAAAAGCTCCAAAGGCCTCAAGTTTCATTCCAATACAAAAGAGAAACAACTGGTGAAACTTCTGTACTTTCATAGCAGAGAGTTCTCATTTCTCTAGACAGCTTAGCTGTTATTGCAATATCACCACTAATGCCAAATATCAGTGAAGATGGAAAACCAATGTTGCCAACTCCTATGAAAGTCTCCATTTTTATTAAAATTGCAGTCCTCAAGGCATGTGATTATGTAAGAATCTTGGGTTTCATGTCATGAAAAATCAAAAATTTCTTCCCTCTGCAGAGAAAAACTTGAAAATGTGTCCTCTTAAAGAACAAAAGCCGGAAGGCAAGCAGAAAGAAATTAAATTGAATTTTTTTTAAGAACTCAGCCTTTCCAAGGCTCAATCTCATGAATTTGATGGAGGAAGGATTCTTTTCAGGAATATTTGTTGACTTAGTAACAGTAAGATTCCCCCAAGGTTTTAACTTCACTTCCTTCACACACTATAGTCTCCATGTCTGGCCTTGCCTTATTTGTCAGAATTAGCTAAAATGCTCTTGATGCTGCACCAGGCAAAGGCTGTTGCCATGAAGTAACACATCTGAGCTGAGAAGAATGAATACATTTCATATCTGCAGTATGAAATGAGATAACAAGCACGACAGCTTCAACTAATGCCACTATGATACAGAATTTGAATAAGTTTCTTATCATTTGCCTCAACGTGGGGGAAAACTTTCTGAATTGCCAGTTCTGAGATGCATCCTACCTTACACAGGATGTGGAAAACAATCCCAGCAGCTGGAACACGTAAGGAAAAGGAAAGCTGTGAAGGGCTTCCATATGTCGGGATGTGCTAGGTTAAGGATATCCCCAGATTATATGCAACATATAAATTCCACTTACCAAAGCTTTTCCTTCATTATTACCTTCTGGGTAGTGTGGGTTAAGCTGGAAAAGAAAAGAAGTCAAATACTATCTCGATAGCTTTCAGACATTTCATAACTGGGGGAGAGGGTTTGGTTCAGTTCTCTGTTACGTTTCCACCCTGCAATAGGAGAGTGGAGTTTTGGAAGCAGTGTGAGAATAAAAGACTCACTGCTTCAATTTCTGGCTGACTTAGCTGGCTCTGTCCTCACCTCTAGAAAGAGCATCCTGCAATCCAGCTTGTTAACTCAAGAGGAATCTCAAATAATGAAACCCAAAAAGGATAATGAAGAAAGCACAGTTACTATTCTAAATGCGGCCAGTTACAGTCACCCGCACACATGAACACACAATGACTTCCAGGACTGACCCTGGGCAGACAGATTGAGATAAAAAACTAATGTTCTCTATGTCTCCTGAGATTTTACAGAAGACAGTGAACTCAGAAACAACACATCTTTGAAACAGGAGTGACAATGCCACTAGAGAAAATTATTTAATTACACTGTGGTTCTGTCCCCATTATTAATGGGGATAATATTTCCTATGTCATATCAGAATTATCAAGTATTAATTAATATTAAATATGAGAAGCTTGGATGAAAGATGCTATACAATAATAAATTTGAAATATTACTATTTAACAGCTGTTTAATATAATTGTACTTTTGACAAGGGAAATATGTTGCCTATAAGATGAGGGATTATGTAGGCAGATATATTCACAAATAAACAAAAACACACACACCCACTCAACTGGCTGCACATGAAACATTTCAGGATTTGATTTACAGAAAGAAACAACTTTGCATCAATATTTACCAATATTCCCTGACATAGGATATGCCATCAAAGCTCTAAAAATTCTGAAGTGATATTATAGGTTATGTTTTTGTTCTTTTTTTCTTCAATTTTGTTCTTAGGCAATTACAGTGTGTATACATCTTACAGATGAGTACTGTCATTTTCTTGGCTTGCATTTGGCATTACCACTGTGGAAGAGTCAGAAGAGAATTACACAGGGCAAGATGCATGAATCCCAGTGGAACTTTTCAATATCACATTATCATACATCTAACATTACACAGACAACTGATGTGAAGAGATTTTGTTAAGTTGATAAGGCTTTTATTAAAAAATAATAATTTATATCCTGAACCCTCTCAAAATGCCCTCTCCACAACATGAGCCTGAAGAAAGCAGGCAAACTTTCAAACCTTTGTCAAATGGCTGAAAATACCTTCCCTATGTATCACAACTTGATGTGGTAACACAGAAATGACCAAAGGTTTATTCTGTCTCCATTTCATTTTTTTACATTAGCCACTGTGTTATCATTACACACCTAATTTGGAGAGCCTGCTTTCCTCCCTGTGCTGACACCTGTGTCAAATCTTGCATTTTGCTGCTCCCTGACATTGTCACAGTCTCCCTACTCCAAGTCCCTCTTGCTACTGCTATACAGCAACAGGAATGAGAGATGAACGCCAAAAAACTAGAACTTATACATGTATGTAACTTTTTTCACAGTTTTGGTTCCTTCTTATGATTCCACAGTTCTTTCAGCATGACATTTCTTCACCTGACACCTTAAAATAATCGTGGTGTCCCATTTTTAGCAGCCAAGCTGAGCTCTCTGCCTTTGATCCCCCATAAAGAAGAGAGAAAATTAGCCGGCAGTGCCCCTCAGCCCCAGGTACACACCATGGCCTTCCAGCACAGGTGCAGAGAAGGTACAGAAAGGATAAATTTCTTTGCTGCCTTCAGATATTGCTGCTTGCAAGCAGGCAAGAAAAAGCCTGGGTCATCTTGAGCTTGTCACAAGACTATGCACAGAAAACTAGGCACTGAGGACTTCATCCTGCAGGTTTTCATTGAAGGGCTCAAGTGAATACAGTTGTCTACCCAGTATGAACTGAATTCTGATATCCTTCAGCTGTCTGCTTTCAACATAATGGTGATTAAAAAAAAAATAAAAAATAAAAGTATATATACATATATATCAGTAAGAGGAGAAATTAGGAGAATCTCCTTCCCTCAACACTTCTTGCTTTCTTGAAAAATGACTGAACTGACTGCCCTCAAACTTCCAAAACAGGAACTGTGGACTGAGGGTGATGGAGACAGAAGGCTCAGGTGAGAAATCACATACATCCTTAATGATGATTTTTCTTGCCCTGCTGGTACAGAAATAATAAAACCAAAAATACATTGTTTAGAGAAAGTTTAGAGATGCTGACATTAAACCATAAACACAATGGAACCCAAGTTTTCAAGCTGACATCCATGGCCCCATTTTCAGCTCTGCTCTGCAGTTGCCACTTTCATTTTCATTTCAGCTGAGATTGTTGGTGCTGAGGGTTTCTAAAAAACAGACCAGTAGCTATTATCCCATGCTACATTCTCCAGGTAGAAGGGGCATAAATCATCTAGTGTTGTGTGTCATATTACACCTGTTCTGAGTCCCTTGCAATATGCCAACCCCGAATGACCTAGGGACACAGTGACAGTCTCAAAACTCCAAAATCTATTGCTTTTTCTGATCTATGTAAGATCACTTCCACATTCTTCAATAAACCACAAAACAAAAGAAGCCTTGAAAAGAACATTAATATGTTTATCTTGCTACTAATGAAATAAAGTAAAATTGTCTGCAGGTGTCTAGAAAGTGAGAATGCTATGCTAAAATAGGCCTCAATAAAGCTCAACAGTTCTCAAGCTTTTTTGTGTCATTGGATGTCTTGAAATTGCCATTTACTGAATTGTAGCTGAAATACAGCAGTGAATATTCCTGAAAAATGCCACTGGAAGGTGTATGCAGCCAATATGTACCAAGAATGTGATGAATTACAAACTGCAGAGCTTAAGCAAATGTAATTGTATAAATTATTATTGTAATAGTTTCATTATATGTTATTTTTTTAGAGTATATCTCCATCAGCTTCTTTTCCAGTAAGGAATAATCCAGAAGTCCTAATCCTCAACTGCTTGTTTTTCAACAAATTCAGGTACAGCCATTTTTACCCTTCCATGAATGGGAAAGAAAAAGGTACCACAAAAAGAGTTTTTCATTGACAGTTCTGGAGTTTAGAAACAGATTTGCAACTACAGAGAAAGCAATACCTTATTTTAAATCTATTTTTAAATAGCATTTACTTGCTCTCCTCTGCAAGAAGCCGAATTCCCAACTTGTGATCCACACAGGGTATCAGAGAGAGCCTTAAGGTCTGGGTCAGTGCTGCAGGTGATCCTCCTGAGTATAAAAACTGGTGTCTCTTGGACATATTTTGGGCTCAGCCATGGTACACAGTGGTATGTGAAAAGATTAAATATCTGAATGCATACATATATCAACATCCTCATCCAGTGGGAGCAGCAGAAGGCCCCCAGGGGAGAGTATGTGTGACAAACTCATACTAGAAGTCAGCTTTTACACATGGAGAACAGAGGTATAGACAAAGTCTTTAATTGTTTCTGGTTAAAACTACTTGAAAGGGCAAGGAATCTCATTCCTGAATTTTCACCTAGATGGCTTTACAAAATCTGTAAAGTCGGCATAGCAGGAAGATAACTTCCATCTCTGTGTGTTTGTTTATTACTTGGTATTTGGTGCTCAGAGAATACATGTGACATGGTAATCCTGGGAGGAATTCCACTAGATTGAGCACCAGGAGTTCCAGTCTCTGTCATCTCTACTGATTAAAGCTACTCAAAGCTGTACCTTAAAGTTTTCAAACTTCACAAGTCCACAGTGCATAATTTCCTGGGGTTCTACTATTGTGCAGATCATCTCACAGGTTATTCCTGGCTTTAATGTTACTTTTGTATCTTCACATAGTTAGATATCCTTTACAATCCAAGAAGTTTGAAATTCCACATTTCTACTGAATGTTGTTTCCTTGGAGGAATGCATGGAAAGTACCCAAACAGGCTATTTTTGGACACTCAATTAAGGAGAGAGATGAGTTTGGGGAAAGAAACACCCATGCTGATTTTAATCAAATTTTGTTGACTAGGTAAAGGATATTTAAAGCATCTTGTCAGGGTAAGAATTAGATTGCCAAATTTCAGCTAAATGAGCATTTTAATGACTTGGTTAAAACCTGCATTTATGAAGGAAACCCTGATAGACAAAAAAAAAAAAAAGAAAAGATCTAATTCAACACATTCAAACAGTTCCCATTTCATTTTATAACCAGCCTGTTAACACACAGTGTGTTACCCAGCCAACAAGGGCAAGTGTTTCGGGGAAGAAAAGCTAGGACAAAAGAAAAATAATCCACTTTTCAAATCTTTCATCTTCATTAGGCTTGCTTTGTTCTTTGTTAATGTCATACTGATTAGCTTTCAATAAATCCAAGGAACTTTTGCACAATTTCAAAGACTTTCAGTGGCATTCAAAGGACTTTTGCCATCTTATTAACTTGCCAGACAAAGAGTGGCTAAAACTCTACCTCGATAAACTCCATTCAACCTTTCCTCGGCATCAGCACAGAGTTCCTGATAATCATCATCCAAGGAAAGTTTAAAAATGTTAAAAGGTCTTTTCTTTCAGGACTGTATTTTCCTCATGAGCTGTGTCTTAGCTAATCAGCCAAGTTTCCAGGGAGCACTGGGAAAGCTGAACCTTTTTGTTTGCTTCAGGCCCCCCTGCTAGTCGAAAACAGGAATGAAAAGCGGCCCCAACATCTTCCTGTCCTGATTTTTCACCCTAATTTCCAGAAGAAAGATCATCTTGACAGCATTTCCAGCTGCTGTGTAAGCAATGGCAGGCCAGCATTTTGCCATGCCTAAATCAGCACAGATTTAAAGGTCTCACACAAGCAGCATAAGCTGGAGCAGCTCCGTGTTATGAGTGGTAATTGGGAAATTCCATTTCTTCTACCAGGATCAAGAACAGAGAACCTGAAACCAGTGCTCAGCCCCACTCAGCCATATCCCATCCTGCAGAGGAAGTCAAAGGAAAGAAAAATGTCTAAGAGATCCTTTAGTGTAACTTGGCTTCTGGGCCATAACCTTAGTCT